GAAAGAGAATGAAATTGTGGGTATAAGTGTTTTGGATTGATATATGTTTTCAGCAAGAAAATATATTTGTTATGCAAGGACAATATAATGAAAAATAAAGAAAAATAGTAATTTCATGTAAAATAGCACTCAATGATGAATTGTCTTACTTACTACATCCTTCCTTGACTAGCAAATATATAGCCAGATGTTAAGTTATAGCTACAAACTTTGATGTCCCAATTCTTTTCCTACTTAAAATGGAGTCAGTCAGGAGAAGAGCTATTGACATAAAATAGAAGTAAAGGGAAGAAAACTAAACTCTGTGCAAATATGTATTTTTGGTGCAGTTACTCAAATTTACAGCTGAAATAAACTTACTTGCTATGTTTCTAATAAATGTGAATAGAAGTTGACTACTGATGAGAAAAAGTAACAAATATTTTGTACTAGGTTTTGGTAAAATGAAGATTTGAGTAGAACAAGATTTCATCAGTTTTCCTGAAAGAACTTAGTCAGGATGAAAATCCGTTTTGAAAAAGGTAGAATATTTCATTTTTACCTTTCAGAATGGGTATTTTAATTTTTAAACAGTATTTCAGAATTTACTTCTGCTATTTTGTTCAGAAACATACTAAATAATATTAAATAAAACATATTGGTTTTGAATGAACAGAACTTTTTTTTATTATTTATTTCTTAGAATTTCTGTTATGTTGAGCCATCAGCTAATCAGGGTGCTGTCTGAAACAGACACAATTAAATCCTGCTTCTGTGTAGTTCATTTCATAGTGCATGTATAGAGGCTACTCAGATATTTCCAGTGATGAGATACAATGTTCTGCACGCATGCACTTAGTTTCCTCTCAGAAGAACAAACTTGTATCTTTTTTGGCAACTGCCAGATGAAAGGGATGAAATTCTGGTTGCACTTGTCTTCTAAGAGGTGATATATCCCAGGTGTGGGAGAAGAAAGAATATGTTAAAGTGTTTGATGTAAATTGCATAACAGGATGCCAATTTGGAGGTATGTAGCACCTGTGACAGGCACATCAGACACCTATTTTTCATCTCTTGCATATATTCTGGACAGTGTCATATCACATAAAAAAAAAATAAATAAATTATACTATCTGTACTGTGATGTCTAAAACACAACTTGATGAAAGCTCTTTTGAATTGAGATTTATCTCTAAACACACAGGACTAACAACTCCTCCTGGAGGCCACTAGTCAGCCACACATTCCACAAAATGTAGCAGTAAAATACAGAATTTATCATATATCAATTATCAAAGACAGAGGGGTAAATCCTCAGATTAGGCCACTTAACCAAAAAGCCTATAACTGAGTATGAAGCCCTCGAGTGTCCTACTGCAGTCCGAACAGGCAAAGTAAATCTGAAAAACAATTCAGAAGAATTTAAATACTTGGCTCAATATTATTTAAGATTTATTTTCTGGTTTTCATGAAGCATTTAATAAAATGCCAATACCGGTTCACAAATCTTTATAAAGCTTAACTGACTCCAGACTTGCTTGAAAGCTGTCAGACTTGGCAACACTTCTTTGTGCTATCTTCTTAAAAGGAGAATATTTGGTTTTACTATCCCAGTTTCACACTATTTAACACTTGTGTGATAAAATATCAAAAGAAAGATATAACTGCAGTACCAGCTTTCTTCCTAAGTTATGTTATAAGTCTCTATACTGAAATATTCATAGTTCATACATTTATCACAACCCAGTACTATGTCTTGATATAATGGAGCAAGCTCACAACAAATGAGGCATCTCAAAGACAAGAAGGAGCATTGCAGAATTAACTGTACTGGAACTATAAGGTGTTCTCTTCACTCGGTGCTACATCCCTACTTTGAGGAGATATAGAGAGAGACTATGCAGTAAATACTACATAATATATTTAATAACATGCATTACATATTAGTAAAGTAAACAGCATTACATCATTTCTCCCCAGAAACCGAATCTTGATCACCCTAGTGTTGATGTGTTAGAATGGCCCTTGGTATGTCTTGTTGTGTACCAGCTTGCCAAAAGGATCTCCAGATATCAGGAGATAGTAAGGGAATGTTTCCAGGAAACAGTCTGGATGTCCTGACAGCCCTGCCCTGAAAGACAAGAGAATAAGTCTATCCCATGCCAGGAGGTCACTGTGGCAGAGAACATGTTTAATTTACTACATCAGGCAGAGTTCAGGAGCACAATTTCTAGGCACTGGTGGCAGGTAAATGCCACAGCATACCCTACAGGCCTTGTCCCCAGATACATGTCCTGTAAAGTCTTCCTGCCCTCCAAGCCCACAGTCCAGGCCACTTACCATCTCGCCCAAAGACCTACAGAGATACACAGTGTCTTCCTACAATCTACACATCCAGGCACCTCCTGGATGAGCTAGGCCCTCCAGGAGGATGGTGCACACTTATAGAATCATAGAATCCTTTA